TCCTGTTTCAGGGCATAGTTGAAAGAGAGCAGAGCACATTGCTCTTTCTGTCCCTCCCCGCATCTCTCAGTCTCTGTCTCTCTCCTCTGTCTGTCTCTGTCTTTGTCTGTCTCTGGCTCTCTCTGCCTGTCTCTGTCTCTCTGTCCCTCCTTTCTCTGGTGCTTTATCCCCCTCTCTTCCCTGAGACCACTAGTCCTCCTCCTCGTTAGACTTAAAAAAATTTTTTTTTCTTTTCTTTTATTAAAACATTGAAATGGGGTCTTGCTCTGTTACACAGGCTGGTCTCAAACTCCTGGGCTCAAGAAGTCCTCCTACCTTGGCTTCCCAAAGTGCTGGAATTACAGGCATGAACCACTGTGCCTGGCCAAAAAACTTTTATTTTCTTTATATATTTGAGACTTTGTTGTCCAGGCTGGAGTGCAGATGGCTCACTGCAGCCTCAACCTCCATGTTTCAAGCAATCCTCTCCTGCCTTAGCCTCCCAAGTAGCTGGGACCACAGGCATGCGCTACCATGCCTCACTAATTGTTTTGTATTTTTTGTAGAGATGGGGTTTCGCCATGTTGCCCAGGATAGTCTCACACTCCTGGGCTCAAGCTGTCCTCCTGCCTTGGCCTCCTAAAGTGCTGGGATTACAGGTGTGAGCCACCGTGCCTGGCCTAAACTGTTTATTTAGAAATAATGATAGATTCCCAGGAAGTTGCACAGATAGGAAGGTCCCATGTACCTCTACCCTTTCCCTCAAAGGGGACATCAGATACAGCCATGGTACAATATCAAAACAGGAACACCGACACTAGTGCAATGTGCATGTTGTTCTGTCATTTCTCCCCATGCAGATTCCTGTGACCAGTGTCAGGGTCAAGGTACAGACCTCTCCCATCCATCACTCAAGGTTCTCCCCTTTATAATCCTGCCTACCTCTGCCCACCACCAATCCCTAGCCCGTAGCAACTGCTGATATGTTCTCCATGTCTATAATTATGCCATTTAAAGAATATTAGGGACTGGGCACGGTGGCTCACACCTGTAATCCCAGCACTTTGGGAGGCTGAGGCGGGTGGATCACCTGAGATCAGGAGTTCAAGACTAGCCTGGGCAACATGGTGAAACCCCGTCTCTACTAAAAATACAAAAATAGCTGGGCGTGGTGGCAGGCACTTGTAATCCCAGCTACTCGGGAGGCTGAGGCAGGAGAATCGCTTGAGCCCAGGAGGTGGAGGTTGCAGTGAGCTGAGAGTGCCCCATTGCAGTTCAGCATGGGTGACAGGGCGAGACTCCGTCTCAAAAAAAAAAAAAAAGAATATCAGGTAAGTGGAATCATAAAGTATGTGACCTTTTGAGATAAGCCTTTTTTACTCCACATACGGCTCCTGAGATGCATCTAAGTTGTGTGTATCCATAGTCTGTTCCTTTTCATTGCTGAATAGTATTCCATGGTTTGGTTTTACCACAGTTTGTTCAGCCATTCGCCTATGGAAGGATATTTTGTTTGTTTCCAGTTTTTGACTATTACAAATAAAGCTGCTCTGGCTAATTATGTGCAGGTTTTTCTTTTTTCTTTCTTGTTTTCTTTTGAGACAGGGTCTCACCATGTCGCCCAGGCTGTAGTGCAGTGGTGCAATCATAGCTCACTGAAGCTTTCACTTCCTAGGCTCAAGCGATCCTCCCACCTCTGCCCCTGAGTAGCTGGGACTACAGGGGTGCACCACCATGCCCCGCTAGTTTTTGTATTTTCTGTAGAAACAGGGCTTCGTCATGTTGCCCAGGGTGGCCTTGAACTCCTAGGCTCAAGCGATCGACCTGCCTTGGCCTCCCAAAGTGTTGGGATTACGGACGTGAGTCACCACATCTGGCCCTCTTGACAGGTTTTTGCGGGATGTGGGTTTTCATTCCTCTGGGGAGAATGCCCAAGCGTGCAGTGCTGCATTGTGTCGTGTGTATTTAGTTTCTGAAGACAAGGATGTCCACTCCTGCTGCTTCTGTTTAACATGGTCCTGCAGGGTCTGGCCAGGACATTTAGGCAAGAAAAATAAAAGGCATCTAGATTGGAAAGGAAGAAGTGAAGCTATCTCTATTTGCAGATCATATGAACTTGTATGTAGAAAACCCTAAGGAATCCACTAAAAAACTATTAGAACTAATCATCAAGTTTAGCAAGGTTGAAGGATACAAGATCAATACGCAAATATAGAAATACGCTTACAATGAGCAATCTGAAAATGAAGCAGAAAATAATCCCATTTACATTGGCATCAAAAAGAATAAAATAGGGGCCGGGCGCGGTGGCTCAAGCCTGTAATCCCAGCACTTTGGGAGGCCAAGACGGGCGGATCACGAGGTCAGGAGATCGAGACCATCCTGGCTAACACGGTGAAACCCCGTCTCTACTAAAAAATACAAAAAACTAGCCGGGCGAGGTGGCGGCGCCTGTAGTCCCAGCTACTCGGGAGGCTGAGGCAGGAGAATGGCGTGAACCTGGGAGGCGGAGCTTGCAGTGAGCTGAGATCCAGCCACTGCACTCCAGCCTGGGCGACAGAGCGAGACTCCGTCTCAAAAAAAAAAAAGAATAAAATAGGAAAAGTGTAACAAAAAATTTAATACTTATATTCTGAAAACTGCAAAACGTTGTTGAAAGAAATTAAAGTTTTGAATAAATGGATTAACATCCCATGTTCATGGATCGGAAAACTTAACATTGTCAAGATGGGGGGACTCCCCAAATTGACCTACAAATTCAACACAATCCCTATGAAAATTCCACCTGGTTTCATTGTAGAAACTGACATGCTGATTCTAATCCATAGTTCATATGGAATTGCAAGAGACCCAGAATAGCCAAAACAACCGTGAAAAATAACATAGTAGAAGGACCCACATATCCTGATTTCAAAACTTAGTACAAAGCCGCAGTAATCAAGACTGGCACTGGTACAAGGACAGATACATAGATCAATGGAATAGAATAGAGCACTCAGAAATCTGTGTATCTATGGTCAGGATGCCAGGACCATTCAATGGAGGGGGAAGAGTAGTATCTTCAACAGATGGTGCTGGGACAACTGCATATTTACATACAAAAGAATGAAGTTGGACCCTTAGCTGGTACCTTATACAAAAAGTAAAATAAATGAAAGACCTAAATGTAAAATTTAAAAATACAAAGCCCTTAGAAGAAAACATAGGGATAAGTCCTCATCACCTTGGATTTGGCAAAGGATTCTTAGATTTGACACCAAAAACATGAGCAGCAGAAGAAAGAACAGATAAATTGGGCTTCATCAACATTAAGAACTTCGGGACAGGCACAGTCCCTTACGCCTGTAATCCCAGCACTTTGGGAGGCCGAGACGGGCAGATCACTTGAGATCAGGAGTTGAGACCATCCTGGCCAACATGGTGAAACCCCGTCTCTACTGAAAATACAAAAATTAGCCGGGCGTGGTGGCCGGTGCCTGTAATTCCAGCTACTTAGGAGGCTAAGGCAGGAGAATTGCTTGAACCCAGTAGGCGCAGGCTGCAGTGAGCCAAGATCACACCACTGCACTCCAGCCTGG